GTAACCACATCACGCATCCAGCTGCCTGCTTTTATTACAAGCAAGGACAGCTGAAGTTAGATAAGCTGGGCTGGGGCAGGGAGTGCATATGTTACCACAACTGTTCCGAACAACAAACCTTCACAGAAGTGGGAAGGGATTTTCCTGACAAACACTTCATCTTGCCCCCTCTGCTTCACCCACTTAGTAAGCCCTCACCAGCTTAAGGAACTCAATCAGAGAGTGGTTTGGAAGGAACCTTATCACAGAATGTTCTGGGTGGGAAAGGCCCTTATCATACACTGGTTTAGGCTGGGAGGGACCTTAAAGACCCTCTAGTCCCAGCCCCCCTGCATGGGCAGGGACACCTCCCACTGGACCAGGCTGCTCAGAGCCCCACCCAACCTGGCCTTGAACACTGCCAGGGAGAGAGAACAGCCACAGCTTCCCCGGGAAACCTGTTCCAGTGTCCCATCACCCTCACAGTGAAGAATTCCTTCTAAACGCCTAACCTGAATCAACCCTCCTACAGTTCAATGCCATTCCCCCTCATCCTACTGCTGCACGCCCTGCTAACAAGTCCCTCCAGGAACTCCAGACCTCGCAGGCTCCTTCCCCCACCCACACCCGGGTCACAAACCACCCAGAGGCGCCCAGCTCACGGATGCAGCTCCTCCGCTCGCGTTTCAGGACACGCCGTTGCTTTTCTATCACTTAAAGCCCCACTGAAGAGAGAAGAAAAACAGCAGCAGCCCCTGACCCTGCCCCCAAGCAAAGCTGCTCCCTGGAGGGCTCAGCCCCTCTCAACGCGGGTTCCCCTCCTGGCCCGGCGCCTCCCCAGGCGCGATCCGAGGGGCACAGGGAGGGCCCTGCGGTGCCTCAGGGCGAGGTGTTCCTGACCCTCACAACTCTCCCCTCAGCTCCTGTCTGCTCTGCCTCTCTCTCCGGCAGCTCCAGGACATTTCAGAGCTGCTCCCAGCTCAGGAGATGCCAGGGGAGTTGCTGGGGGTGGGGGGAGGCAAAAGGGTTTTGCACTTTCCTGCACACACTTGTATATAATTGTCCATATTTCTTTTATTTGTAGTATTTAATTAAAACTGTCTAGTTTAGTTTTCAGTCCAGGAACTCTCTCTCCTTTAATATCTCTCTCCTTTCCCTGCCTGGGTGGGAGGGGAACAAGAGCGCTATTGTTGCTGGTTTAACAGCCCATCCTGAGTCAAACTGTAACCACATCACGCATCCAGCTGCCTGCTTTTATTACAAGCAAGGACAGCTGAAGTTAGATAAGCTGGGCTGGGGCAGGGAGTGCATATGTTACCACAACTGTTCCGAACAACAAACCTTCACAGAAGTGGGAAGGGATTTTCCTGACAAACACTTCATCTTGCCCCCTCTGCTTCACCCACTTAGTAAGCCCTCACCAGCTTAAGGAACTCAATCAGAGAGTGGTTTGGAAGGAACCTTATCACAGAATGTTCTGGGTGGGAAAGGCCCTTATCATACACTGGTTTAGGCTGGGAGGGACCTTAAAGACCCTCTAGTCCCAGCCCCCCTGCATGGGCAGGGACACCTCCCACTGGACCAGGCTGCTCAGAGCCCCACCCAACCTGGCCTTGAACACTGCCAGGGAGAGAGAACAGCCACAGCTTCCCCGGGAAACCTGTTCCAGTGTCCCATCACCCTCACAGTGAAGAATTCCTTCTAAACGCCTAACCTGAATCAACCCTCCTACAGTTCAATGCCATTCCCCCTCATCCTACTGCTGCACGCCCTGCTAACAAGTCCCTCCAGGAACTCCAGACCTCGCAGGCTCCTTCCCCCACCCACACCCGGGTCACAAACCACCCAGAGGCGCCCAGCTCACGGATGCAGCTCCTCCGCTCGCGTTTCAGGACACGCCGTTGCTTTTCTATCACTTAAAGCCCCACTGAAGAGAGAAGAAAAACAGCAGCAGCCCCTGACCCTGCCCCCAAGCAAAGCTGCTCCCTGGAGGGCTCAGCCCCTCTCAACGCGGGTTCCCCTCCTGGCCCGGCGCCTCCCCAGGCGCGATCCGAGGGGCACAGGGAGGGCCCTGCGGTGCCTCAGGGCGAGGAGGCCGGGCCGCCATCTTGCCCATCTGCGCCGAGAGGGCGCACCGCGCCTGCTCGCTGACTGGTGCGTCCGGCTGTCAATCAGAGCTGCGTCCCGCCC